CTTGACAGCAGTAAAAAATAGCTTACTCCTGGACTCCTCTCCAGTCTGTACTAAACAATCACAAACTGTGCGTCTCACTGCACCTGAAACTACAAAAGAACACTCATTTATCTGCCTCATTTTACTTATCACCTCCCTTCCAAATAAAAGTCTCGCTTCTGTAAACAGACCGTCACAAACCACATATTCCTATTTTAAAATTAACTATCCGCAAACAAAGCCCTCAGTGTCTTTATCTGAAAAAGTTGATACCGTCCCAACCATGAAGACAACCCTACATAATTCCGTATGTTATAAACTCGCAAGACCCACAGTTTTTGAAAAGCACCATGATTCCCGTTCACCAAAAAACAATACTTTTGCCAAATAAAGTCGGCATATCTAAGTAACAAACAAACCATTAGTAGTCAAGACCAACAAGATCGTCCTTAGCAAGCGGTTAAACACAGTCGATTTAAAGTAGAGGTCAATGCCACACAGAAGTTAAAAAAATTAATAGTTTCTGTACTTCAAGCCACCAATAAATTAAGTACAAAAACCTAAGCGTGACTTAAAGTGTCAACTGTTCATCGTATGCACTGCAACATAACAACCCCCCCAACATTGAGCTTTAAAAGTTTTGGAACTGTGGTTCAAACTGAGAGTGTAATTCTTTAATATCAGGTAGGAGTAGGAGCATTACGTCCATCAACAAAAATTTCAAAAAACAACAATTAAAGTCATTGTCTTCGCCGAAAGACCGAAATTTCATCCTATAGAAACCACTCCGTTTAAGTGAAGAACTGTTCGTAAAATGAAAATAAATATCTGAATCAAACACAAGAAAGAGATAAGCGACTCTTAAGATGAAAGTAACTTTTTTAAATGAATGACCATTCAATATATTCATTGCTGTGAAACTTACATCAGTATGCAACTTACGCAAGCGAACCTTAGCGATTTCCAACCACACTTGCAAGCAGCAAATTTTTTTGATTATATCAGTTTTTAACAATCAAGAATCCGAAAAACTAAATCAAACTAGTGACTACCTATCACACGACGAGTTATGAGCAATTTTGAGATGATAAATAGATTCCCTAGTACCAATCCATTCGCTTTTGGAAGAGGCCAAAAACAGTAAAGTCAATAAAACCCGCAGCGCCCAAAATTTTCTAAAAGATTGGGATTGAGAGAAGAAATATCCTGAACAGAGACAGTTCTAAATTCAAACATAAAATGCAGTAACAACAGCAGTAGCAGTAATACAAAATTTTAGAAGGAGAATTAAGCTGATGAAGTGCAAAGAAATAAGCTGCAATATAACTGCAATTATTGACACCATAAAGAACTTTTATGCAGGTATTCCCATGTGATTCTAAACTGTTACCACATTACACGTTGTGGCGTACCAGCTTGATGAAAAACAGATTCGTGCCATAAGATTTCTGGAACCTGATAACATATAAAACCACCAACAAACAACAGAATTCTGAAAAATTGGCTCAAAGCCATCAGACAACAACAACGCATGCTCAAAAGCATTTTTGTAAAATTTAAAAAATAAAAACTATAACTGACTACCGGATGCCTGTTACTTGGTATATTCATGTCAAGGAGTGATCCAAGTAACGTGTAAGAGACGCAAAAGCGATGACACCAAAACGCAAACAACGTTATTACTCAACTCCCTTCAATTAATGCTTCTTCCCCGGACTTATCGTTCAACCATCTTTGCAAGCTGCTTGTCGATACGATTACGCAAAAAACTTTTGTAAGAAAATATATCTCCCTCCCACTTAGTCACAGACTGATGATCACATATCCAAATCTCCTCAGCAACCTGAAGTAAACTTCACTAAAAACCTGTAAACTAGCAAACGTTGCCAGTGCAAACTGTAAGAATATTAACCTGATGAACTAGACGGAAGTCATGGGAAACCAGCATCATCCCGCCTTCAAAGCAATTAATTGCCTCTGCCAGCGCATCAATACTCTCCATGTCTAGATGATTAGTTGGCTCGTCCAGAAGCAACAAATGCGGCTGTTGCCAGGCAAGCCACGCAAAAGAAACTCGACACCTTTGCCCATCAGAAAGTTGTTTCATCGGGCAGACCTGAAAAATAACGGCAAAGGTTCCAGAAATTAGAAAATAGTACGTTTTGCAGCAAGCAACTTTTTAATTCTTATAAAGAAACAAATCTTAACCTGTTCTCTACCAGTTAAGCCGTAGCGTCCAATGATTTTCCTCATTTCTTCTTTTTCTTTCACATCAGGAAAAGAACACATCATGAACTCCAATGCAGATTTTTCAAGCGGAAGCTCTTCATGTAAATGCTAAACCCGGTAAATTTTACATCTCCTTATTAGACAGAAGTCAATGAAACGAAGAGAGTTAATGTAAAAGAATCAACATTTTAAAAACAGGATATAAACCTGATGATATCTGCCGATTTTGCAATGCGAGTGTCTCCTAATAAGACCGTCAGCAGGCATAACGTCTCCACAAATCAATTTCAGCAATGTCGATTTCCCTGCCCCATTTGGCCCCACAAGAGCAATTCTTGTGTCTAAGTCGATGCCAAAATCAAGATCTTTGTAAATGTAAGGCTAAAAAAATGATCTTCAGCATAAACTATTAAGGACAGGAGAAAAGCACAAAAGCAAATTAAAAAAAAAAAACTTACTGTGTTATCACTGTATCGAAAAGAAACATGTTGTATCATAATGACAGGAGGAGGTATTGGACCAGGATCAAAAAAGTAAAACTGCTTCACCTTAAGTGTTCCATAATTGAAAGAAAAACTAAATCAATAGACTCATTTGTTAAAACTGATAACTATACATTCTTAGTAAATTTTAAAAACTCCATCATCTAAAATGCCAAAAGTTTCTGAGCTAGAAATAGTCTGAAAAAAAATTCCTAAATGTAGATAAAATTCAGAACAATGAAGTAACATACCTTCTCGAGCACAACTTTTTCAGTTAATCCACCAGCAATCATTTTTGCCATAGTTTTTTCTTTACTTTGTGCCTGTCTAGCAAGCTTTGCACTTCCATGACCGAACCGAGCAACATAGTCCTAAATATCAAACAATTATCAAAAATGCCAAATAACCTCAGTAATAAAACAGATATATGAGAAAAATTCGAGATCACAAAGCAACAAAATTGTCAAAGTATCTTATTCCATACTTTCATGTGTTGGAGCTGATCCTGTTCCCATTTATAACGCTTCATCTGATTTTCTAGCAACTCCTCTCTAGTTTTTATGTAAGCGTCATAATTACCCTTAACAGAAACCCATTAACCTATTGAACTGTCTGAGGTTACTAAGAGAGTGTATAAAAATTGAAACTTTTTGATATGGGTAAAAAAGTTATTTTCTTTAAGCTACACAACTGTAAAACCTATAAGAGAGGAATCCAAGTACCAATTAACATAGTCACTTACACCATAATATACAAGCTTCTTCTGGAATAAGTGAATAATATTTGTGCAAACTCCATTCATAAAATCTTGTGAATGTGATACTATGAGCAAAGTCCTCTTGTAGCTAAAAATTAAGTATGGTTTTGAAGCAAGGAAGTATTTTGGTCATTATCAAATACCTACTGTGAAATAACAGCGGTAAACAAGTAACTAATTCGTACCGGGATAATTCTTCTTCTAACCACACACAAGCTTCTAAATCAAGGTGATTTGTAGGCTCATCAAGAAGTAATAGCGAAGGCTTCAAGTATAACGCCCTTGCTAATGCTATGCGCATCCTCCACCCGCCTAAATTTCACTTGTAAATGTTTGTTTCAGCAGCTTTTAGACAAATTTTCTAATTTCTGCTACAAGCAATAAAAGAACGCCGTTAATTATACAAAAAAATAAATAAAACTAAAAATCTTCAAATAAATTTACCTAGAAAAAGAAAACAAACGCCTACCAGAAAAATCTTTACACTTCTTTAACATCATCTGTTTTGTAAAACCCAACCCGTGCAAAATCCCTGCAGCTTTAGTCTCTGCCATATCGGCATCCATATCTTCCAACCTATCATAAACATCCAACAGCTTCTCTTGACTTTCTGAAAAGAGAGAGGAATAAAAGAATATGGTATAAAACCAATAAGCTTCCCATAGAACTTGGGAAGATGCAAAAATAAATAAGTGGATAAGACCCATTCTCTCACAACGACCAGCCGTAGAAAGTAACCCAATTTTGAGAATTAACGATACCACACACTAATCTCTGCAATATGACTTTTGAAATCAGACACCAGCCAAACAGTAAAAAAAATGAACTGAAAGCTTCTATACAGCTCTGAGTTCCCCTACACCAGAAAATCAGGTAAATAAACGAATTATCTTATCCACACATAAGTTCACTAACCATCGTCTGTACAAGCTGCTAACTCTTCCGCCTGTTTTTCTAAGGCCTTCCTTACCTCATCAACATCACAGACAGCCTAAAAATAGAAAACGATTGAGAAATTAAAGAAGCTGAATTTAAAAGATGGAAGGGCAAAACCTTTAATGCACTATCATTCGAGGCTGCCATCTCGCGTGAAACAAGAAACATGTCAACATGATCTGGAATAGGCAACTCTCTTCTACAAATTGCCTGCATCAGAGTTGACTTACCTAGAATTTAAAGAACATTACAAAAAGGTTACACATTACTTGCCGGAAATCCACTGTAATTATTAAAAACTCCTTTGAGCCACTACGGAAAATCTCACTAGAAATCAGGATCTTTATTAAAGCGATGAACGTATAATTAGGAAGCAGTAAAGTCAATGATAAGAAGAAGCTGCTAACCACTTCCGTTCAAACCGATAAGTCCGTAACGTCTTCCCATGTTCAACTCCAAGATAGTATCAGTAACAATCTCCCTCCCGTGAAAAGTTACTGTAACGCCTTCAATTCTGATGTCCATTGACCTGTCAAATGTACCAGTAAAGTAAGAATCAATAATATTTTGACCAACTCTCCTTGCAAAAAATCAATACGAGAATTCAACGCTTACTTAGGATGGGAAGTTAAAGCACCAGCCGCAGACCTAGCCTGAGCATTCTCGAGTTCCATCTGCTCCAGCATAGCTGCAGCAACATCTATAACATCATCGCGACCGCCTGATACAGAAAAATCTGTAAAACAGGGCACTTAAAGCAAGAATTATTACGAACTACTAGAAATTTTACAAAAAGCTTATTAATAGCACACGTAAAAATATAAGAGCAGAACGTATTTATGAGGAAAAACTTGTGCAATGACGTTTCTGATAAAAGCATTGACATTAGATAACACTTCGAAAATCACCTCCATTTTCTTGTATTGCAGAGCCGTCTGAATTGACAGGGGGGCCCAATCCTTCATTTTCTTCTTTCTGCTGAAATAGTTAAATTATACTGGCAGAGCCGGCCGGTATCCCTAACTATGAATAGTTCTATTACTAATAACTTTAAACAAATATGATGTCAGTAGCGATTTTCTTGTAAAAAAAATTACGCATGAAAACTTGGATAAACAAGAAGGATGTCACTCGTATTCCTATATTAAAATAAACTTCGTCTGACCTTTTGCCTTTAGCTTACAATCTGATTTCTTCCACTGAAGAATTCCAAAAAAGTCAAACAAAAATGTGTTTCTATTTTTAATGAGAAAAAAGTGGTAAAATAAGAGTTGAGCAAAAATGCAATTTAAATGAAGACTGCAGGCTCATGAACAAAAAAAAAAAAAAACATGCAATTGTCTGTAAAATTCTCATAGATAATGTCTCTTACCATTTTCTGGTCTCGAGCCTTGTTCCTTGTTTTCGCAGCCTGCTTTTTTGCTGCATCTCGCCTTTTCTTTGCGTCTGAAGGCATTATGGGGGACCAAGTTTCGGGGAGAAGAAAAACCTAAAAAAATACACAAGTTCAGCTACAGTAAGAGAGAAAAAAAAGTAGGGGCACAATAAACTAGAATTTACGCTGCTCAAATATACTTTAAATCTCAAACGGCGCGCCATTAAAGTTTAGTAACTGAACACAAAGGCCATGAACTGAAAATACCCTTTCCACAACTCAAAGGCTTCCCAAGCGTTGCATTTAACAATAACCGTAATTTAAAAAAATGCAAATAATAAAATCGATGCATTCAGCAATCAGAGCAATAAAAACTCTAAAGATTCTCACACAACGAATCAAATTACTTTGCGTTTCTGGAAAAGATGTGTAAAAAAACCAAACTACTGATCTTCATGGATCATAAGAACCCTGACAAAAAAAAAAAGGCAGTGCCACAACCGTGGTAAATTTTAGGACGCAAGAAAGGATTTCTTTAACCCTATCAAATCTGTTAGCCAGACTTGACGCTTGGGAATTGGTTAGCAATTCTAAGCCGACAAAAGATGCATTTCAGGTAGTAGACGCATAACCAATGAAATTTTCTGCTCCAAATCCTGTTCTCTCTTAATTTCTTCATTCAAAAAAAGTTGTACAAGTTATCAGTACTGACGCA